GCTGCATTGGGTCTTTGTTGCTTCATGCGGGCTTTCTCTAGTTGTGGTGAGCGGGGGCTACTCTTCCTTGTGGTGCACGGGCTTCTCATTGCAGTGGCTTCTCTTGTTGCGGAGCACGGGCTCTAGGCACATGGGCTTCAGTAGTTGCAGCACATGGGCTCAGTAGTTGTGGCTCATGGGCTCTAGAGAGCAGGCTCCGTAGTTGTGACACATGGGCTTAGTTGCTCCACAGCATGGGGGATCTTTCTGGACCCATGTCCCCTGCATTGGCAGGTGGATTCTTATCCACTGTGCCACCAGGGAAGTCCCACCATTTTCTTAATTGCTTTTTGTATGTCTTATGGTTTTTTTCCTATCCCTTTGTTTATTCTTGTCACTTTTAAATGTCTCATTGATTTTTTTTATAGTGACATGTTTTGATTACCTTCTCCTTCCCCATTATGCATATTCTATGTATTTTCCTTGTGGTTACCATTGCAATTACCTATAACATCTTAAAGTTGTAACAATCTACTTTAACCTGATAAAAAATTAATTTCAATTGCATATAAAAACTCTATTCCTTTACATCTCTGTCCCACCCTTTATGTTGACTCACACAGAAGAAGATGACTTCTTTTTATGTTGCATATCCATTAACACAGATCTGTAATTACTTCTCATGCTTTCATGTTTTAAATTCTATACCACATTTAAAAGTGATTGATGCATCTACATTACAATACTGTAGGATTCTATATTTGTCTATAAATTTACCTTTACCAGGGAGTTTTATATTTTCATATGGTTTTGTGTTATCATTCTTTCACTTCAACTTGAATGGTTTCCGTCAGCATTTCTTGTAGGGCAGGACTAGTGGTGATGAACTCCTTCAGATTTTATTTATCTGGGAAAGTCTTTTTCTCCTCTGTTATTCAAAGACATTTTTGCAGAATATAGTATTCTTAATTGGCAGGGTTTTTTTTTTTCCTTCAGCACTTTGAATTCATCATTCCACTCCCTTCTAGCCTGAAAAGTTTCAGCTTAGAAATCTGCTTATAATCTAATAGAAGCTCCTTTGTACAGGCAAGTTGTTTTTCTCTTGCCATTTTCAAGATTCACTCTTTGTCTCTGATTTTTGATAGTTTGATTATAATGTATCTCAGTGAAGGTCTTTACATTTATCTAGTTGGAGTTTTTGAGCCTCCTGAATTTGTATGTGCATTTCTCTCAGATTTGGTGAGTCTGCAGTCATTATTTCTTCAAATAGGCTCTCTGTCCTCTCTTTTTATTCTCCTTCTGGGACTCTCATTATGCTTATGTTATTCTACATGATGGTGTCCCACAAGTCCCTTAGCCTCTCTTCATTTCTCTTGATTCTTTTTTCTTCTTGTTCCTCTGCCTAAGTGATTTTCAAAGTCCTGTATTCGATTTCACTGATTCTTTCTCTCTCTGGTGAAGAATTCAGTTTCAGAATTTGTTTGTGTCCTCTCCATAGTTTCTACCTCTTTGTTAATGTTCTCATTTGTTAATGTATTGCTTTCCTGACTTCATCAGTTATTGATCTGTGCTCTCTTTTAATTCACTGAGCATCCATATGATGGTTATTCTGAATTCTTTGGTAACTCATATATCTCCATTTCTTTAGGGTAGGTATCAAATTTAATTTATTTCTTTCAATGGGTCATGTTTCCCTGTTTCTTTATATGGCTTGTCATCCTCTGTTGGGACTTTAGCATTTGAAAAATCAGCCACCTCTCCAGTTTTTGTGGTCTGGTTTCATACAGGGAGGACTTTCTACAATCAATCCAGCTAGAGATCCTGGAGACCTCTTAAAGCCTTATCTGGAGATGTGACCACTTTGGGCTTATGCATGTAATCTAATAATTGAAGAGCTTTGCCAGTTTCTACTCAGGATCTCCCTCTGGCATCTGTCTGCAATACTGTGGCCTCTGTGGTGCAGTAATAAGCTGTAGTACTGGACTTCCACCTAGCTTCTGTCTGTAGTATGGTGGACTCTGGGGCACATTGATTGCTTTTGTTCTCAGCAGCCCCAAACTGGCCACCCATTCCTGTCAATACTTAGATTCAGGCAAGATAGAAACCAGTCACTCAGGCACTTTCTAGAAAATTCAGATCACTGGACATGTGTTCTACTCCTTTCTCTCTTCAGTGAGAAGATGGGAGTTGAGGGTTTCCTCCCAATCATGTTATATTGGGGGTGGAACACTTGCAAGTGAGTGCCACAAGATTTCCCACTAGGCATTGATGCAGTTGGTTTCACACTAACCTTGGGTGCAGGACCCACTTTACTGGTTTCTGGATTTCTCACAAAGACAATTGGCCCATGTATTATTAAGTTTGTGTTTCCATGGGAGAAGGAGGGTATGGAGTTGCATATTCTGCCATCTTCTTAATGTCACTCTTGATTTGAATCCCTTTAAATGAATTTGTATTTATGATATAGATTATGGTCTGTCTTGGAATATTTTATGCAGACCTGAAAAGAAAGTGTATCCTGCTGTTAATATGTGTTCTATAAATGTCAGTTAGATAAGTTGGTTAATAGAGTTGTGGTTGATAGTGTTGTTCAAGTCTTATATATACTTACTGATTTTCTGTCTGCTTGTTCTATCAATTTTTGAGAGATGAGTGTGAAATCTCTGACTATAATTTTATATTAATTGTGAATTTCTCTCTGTGGTGCTAGCACATTTTGCTTTATGTATTTTGAAGTTCTGTTATTAGGTACATAAGAAAGGGAATGGTGGAAGATAAATAGATACTGAGATCAGGAGAGGATTAAGCTCAGAACTGCAAATTGAAACAAGATACCCTTTACAATAAAAATCTATCTATCTATCTATCAACTAATCTTATAGTTTCTGTTTCTCTAGAGAACCCTGACTAATACACATGACATTCTCAGCTACTTGTGTGCATAGTTTTTATTCATTATTTCATTTCCACAACTGATAGGTGGTGGCTGGCACATTGTGGGAGGCTGATGATATTTGTGAACTTGACGGTATTCATAATCTGACATTCTTTTGCTCTCTGTAATGAAAAAGAGGTTCATTTTCTTTACCCTCTCATACTTATCCAACTTATAGGAGGGATAAGGACATAGACAACATCTTTGATAATTAGCTTGAGAAGAGAAGCTCTAATTGGTCCCTTTCATTCCTTGTAGACTGGCAACTGTTAGCATATAGAGAATGAAAAATGTACATGTGAGTGATGGTGGTGGTGGAAGGCGGTTGAGAAAAAATTAGTTCTTTTGGTATGAAAAGTTCAGGAAAAGAACATTAAGGAGTAACCTCAGGTAAGTTGGAGGAAGGACTAAGGAGAAAAGGCATAATGTTTGCACTCACTGAATAAAAACAATGGAAGAAAAAACATATTACTAAAAGGAAAGAAAACATGGATTTTCTCCTTACCCTGGAGACTTCTGGCATCCAGATAATGAGTTTTAAAAAACTAGGGTTAATGAACCTTTACCCCCCCCCAAAAATAGTATATGCATGTTCTCTAAATTTAACCTATAAATTCATTATTTGACTTTTCTCAGTGTTGTGGTCACTATCCCCCCTTATTTCTTGTTATTCCTTAGCTAGAAAAAGCAACTTTCCCTCCTTTCTTTTACATAAATTTGAGTTGGCCTTAAACCTTTTCACAAATCATTTTTTCTTATTAGGGTACCCTTGCCATCTATTCTGACAATCTATATCACTCCTCTTCTGCCTCATATATTTTTATGGTACTTTCTGTCCATAAATATCTGATTCAGACCTTGACTGAAGAAAAGAAAAATGCATTTCAAATTTCAGACCTTGACTGAAGTAAAGAAAAATTCATTTCAAAGTAAATAAAAATGCATTGTCCATAAATATCTGATTCAGACTTTGACTGAAGTAAAGAAAAATGCATTTCTTTACTGAAGTAAAGAAAAATGCATGAATCTAAAAACAAAAAACCTCTTCAGAGCACTGTGCATTCATTACAATATAATAACCAAGAGTTTGTGAATATTATAACCTATTTTCTTCCAACTAATTTACATCCAGTTTTTTCATGTTTTCTTTTTTTTTCACTACTCTTTTTACTAAAGTGTAAGTTCCTTTCATTAACTTTAACCAGTAACTTGGGAAACTGTCAACACTTCATATTATGCCTGTTCTTCGGGGATGTGTAAGAAATCATCATTATTGCTTATTATGCAAACCCAGAGAGTCCCTGGCACATAGTATGTGCTCAATAACTATGTGGTGTCTTAAGGACTTAACGTGACATTCGTAAAAGAAATACTGATCTGTAGTGCAAGAAAACCACATTTGAATTACTATCAGCTATAGTCCTTTCTTGTTTCAACAGGGAGGTACATGAATTGTGGACTTAATTTTTTAATTCTGGAAGGCTCAACATTTTGTCTTAAAGAATCCATATATTGAAAGTTAAGTATCCATATCTCTTTCTTAAGTACTTAAATCAAAAGTTAACCATCTCCAAGTTTTAGTCTGAAGCATTCTTTGTCTAGGAGCTAGGTATTGCTTTTTGCTCATCCAACTGGAGTCCAACTGCGGCCTTTTTCATTCAACCATCCCTTCCCAGCACGGCCCTCTTCTCTCCCTGGGGTCCCATCCCCACTATCCCTCTCACCCCAAAACACACACAAACAAAACCGGAAACCACAATTCCGCCTGCTCCTGTGGAGACTCGACAACGCTCAAGTTAAGGCCACATGACACGTTTTTAAGCACGCCGTTTCCCTCCTCTAACCACATTAGGTTTTGTCTAGAGAATATTTTACTCTCACAGAATGCGTCCGTCGTCTCAGACCTGACAACCGTAGCGCCCTGCGGAGCAGCCGAGGGGAGACTACTAACACCGCCTTCTCACTTCCTGAAACTCCAGCGAAGACTTCCCAAGCTCGCTCAGTTGCCCAGAGCCCCGCCCCGCCCCACGTCCCTAGTGGTGCGGCACGCGCATGCCCGGTGCGCGTCGCCTGCCCCCGCCCGGCGCCTGCTCCGGCTTCTGCTCCCCTTGGGCCCCCTCGCGCGGCTGGCGGCTGGCTCCCTCCCCGGTCGCGGCCCGTGGGGACGTTCGCAGGCGAGCGCACCTTCCCGCACGGAAGAGCCCCGGCTGGGAGGATCCGAGTGAGCGTCGATTGGTTGACGTGGTGCCTGCGCGTCGGGCCTGAGAAAGTCTGGGCGAGCGCGCAGAGTCGGCTCCTGTGGCGGTGCGGGGCGCATCTCAGGTAAACGGGCAGGGTGGGAGGTTTGGGCGACCGGAGAAAAGGAGTGGGTTGAGGCCAGACCTGGAATTTCCGGCCGTAGCCTCCTTGGAGAAGGGGCCGCGCAGAAACTGCACCCGGTGAAGGTTGGCCCCGTGCGGCCGGTAGTGATGGGGCTCCCTCGAAGGTCAGCATCGTGGGGTCCTCCGGTCTTCTTTCTGGGCGTGATTTCGGCATCTTCTCCTGTTTCCTGTTACAAGAGTTCTGCAGCTGAGCATGTATTCAAGGGTGTAGGTTTTTGTTTGTTTGCTTTTCCCTTAAGAGGCAGTGAATTGGAGGGTTCAGGTCCTGGCTCAAGCTATGATTGACTCTGCCCTTGAGAGTCACACATTCGCTTTGTATTTCAGGTCTCACACTTGTAAGTTTTGGCAAAGAATGTGTGCTTCTTTAGGCACGCTGAGCCATGCTGTACAAAGGTACTGTTAGAATTTTGGGGGGTTCACAATGTCTCTGGGCCCACATTTCGCTGACTGGAAGGTGACACCACCCGACAGTCATTTGTGAAGTACTTTAAGCTCCATGGATGAAAGGAACTGGATAAGCACAAGGTAACAGCATTATTAGACAGGATGTCGTAGAAAGAAAAAACTTTCCACAAGAACAGGCTTTTTGAAAAGCTCCTTTGAACATTTTATGCAGATTAAATCACAGTGGTAGTAGACAAAGGTGAGCCAAAACAAAGGGCCAAACAAAACAACATTTTAAGGAGATTTTTCTTTTTTTTTTTTTTTCCTTCCCCAGATAACTTTCACGATAACAAGTTACTAGCTTTTCAAAGTTTCTCCTTGGGAGATAGTGTGGAACTAACCTAAAATGACAGTTACATAAGCGTGGGTATCCTGTGCAATAGTATACCAAGAGAATTAATTAAAACAAAGCTCCTTTCTATATAAGGTAACAGGAATTAAGATATCTCATTGGGGAGAGGTAATGATGGCAAATCCGAAAAGTGAACGAGAGATGTACACAATTTTCCTTCAAAGGCATAGAGTTTGTAGATATGTTTCTAGTGTGTTAATTATTAAAGCATAATAGGCACACAGAAAAGTGCATGAATCATAAGTGTACAGCTCATTGAATTTTCACAAAGTGTGCATATCCAAGAAAAAACATTACTTGCATCCTAGAAGCCTCACTTTGTGTCCCCTTTCCAAAGGTAACCATTATCTCAATTTCTGACATCATCAATGAATTTACTTATTATTGACTTTATATAAATAGAATCATACAGTTTATAGTCCTTTGTGTCTCACATTTGCTCAATATTATATTCATGAGATTTATACAAGTTATGTAGCAGTATTCCATCCATTTTTGGGGTATTACCAGTAGGGCTGCTATGAACATTTTTTGTAAGTACTTTGGTGAACATATGTATACATTTCTGTTGGATGTATACCTACTGGTGAAATGTCTATATTATAGGATACGCAAATATGTATTTCTGGTATACACTACCAAAAAGTTGTTCAAGTTAGTTGTCAGTTAACACTCCTGTTATCAGTGTTTGAGAATTTTGGCTCCTGCACATGGTTGAAACACTTAGCATTGTCCTTTTCATTTTACCCATTCTGGTGAGTAGTGATATCACATTGGGGTTTTTCCCTAATTCCCATAATGACTAATGATATTTAACACCTCTTCATATGTCTACGTATTGGCCAGTTGGATATCTCTATTGGCAGGGGTTATCAAATTTTCTGTAAAGGGCTGGATAGTTAATATAGGCAGTCTTGCTTTGAAGAGTTTCAGTTAAAGCAGTCCTAGCTAGGACTACCTGTAATTTAGGCTTTGCAGGCCATATACAGTCTCTGTTGTATTTTCTTTCTTCCTTCTTTCCTTTTTTTTGCTTTCCTGTTTGCTTGCTTCCCTGCCTACCTTCCCTCCTTTCCTCCCTCCCTCCCTCCCTCCCTCCCTCCCATCCTCCCTCCCTCCCATCCTCCCTCCCTCCCTCCCATCCTCCCTCCCTTTCTGTTTTCTTTAACTTCCTTCCTTCCTTCCTTCCTTCATTTCATCCTTTGCTAACCACTACTATGTTGAAAAATAACTGTTCATAAATGACCATTTGATCTTCTGCTCATTGTTGGTGACATCATTAGATGGGGCTATATTGGAAAAGTATAAATACATAATAGTACTAAGTAATGTGTGCTGTAGTGTCTTAGTGTTAAATTTCAAATCTCTAAACATACTTCCTTTGCTTTTTATCAGTTTTACCTTGAGAATAATTAGAGACCTATTTGAGACTTCTCTAAATTGTTCTATTGCTCCTACTATCTCCCATCCCTTTAAAGCTGACAAACAAAAAAGAGGTTAAGAAGCAAGAAAAGAAAGGAAATACAACCCTTTGTTGATTTGCATAAAAGGCTAAGAAAGAGATGAATATGCAGGCAGTTGTCGACACTGAGTAAAAGTATAAAAAAGCATACCTACTTTTTGCAATACTTTGAGTTGGATATTGTCTTTTGAGCGGTTCCATCATGAGATGGCTTGGTTGAAATTTATATCTACCCTATTGAGTATGCTCATAATATAGGAAGTAAGAGTCAGTGGCTTGGGCCATGAAACTCAACTGTGGCACCCCTGCCCAAGTTGGAGATACTCTCTTCCTTAAATGCCCCATTGGGCTGTCCAGTTCATCTTCTCTTACTTTTGGTCCCCTGCCTTTCACTCAGCACCAAAAGTACCAAAAAAATATTTGAAAATATGTTAACATTTTTAGCTAACACTTTCTTTTTTTTAGATGGCTTATAGAAGTGAATTTAGGTATATACTTAGATATATGCTAATACTAATGAGAGGCTTGGGGCAGTCTCCATCAATGTGATGTTTTCTTTAAGATGGATGATCTTGCTTGATTGTTATGCAGACACAGATTTAAGATAACCACTGGGCCCCAGTTTCCACCACCAGCCCACTAGGGTCCTTAAGCCTTTCTTATATAGAAATTTTGGATCCAGTTGTGCATTGATTTATGTGTGCATATATACACACACATATTTTGACTAATACAAATGCCTTTCTGCTTTATAATTGCCACACACAACAGTTGTACTTATATGCAATGTTTTCACTGCACTATTTGCACCAGAGTTTGAGTCATTACAAATTATTATGGCTGGTAAAGGGTTTATACTGGTGGAGGGGATTCTCCGACAAGTGAAAACCGCCTCCCACCCCTACCTGATATAGGAGCAAATAGGGTGTTTATGTAGTAGAAATGTGTAATGATACTAGATCCTGATTGATGCTTCTGTGTTCATCAGGATATATCTGTCAGTTCAGTTGTTGTCATTAGCTTCCTCGAGTACCTGCTCCCATGGACATTGCCTTCGTTGCGTGCATTGCCATTGTTGACCTCTGGGACTGTCCATATTCCAGGATTCCAGTGGGGACAAACCTTGCCCTTTCTGGTTGCAGTTTCTATTTTTAGATACTTCATTTAAGTTATACTTAATCTTGTTTGCTTTGTTTAAGGTGAGACTATATTTCTCTGCTATGATCTGTTATCTGTTGCTTTCATACTTTTTTTCCAGCAAATACCCTTATTACTAATATGTCCAGATACCTGGGACTGGGGATGGGCAGAGTGTAGTTCAGTTTCATCTCACATGCCACCTACAGAGATAGCTTTAGGGTTTGATGAGAGAAAAAGATATCTTGCACAACATTATCCAATTCTGGCTGCTCTTGTTAGTACTATTATTCTCTCTTCCTTTTGAATTTATTGGATTTATTGGATTTTGAGACTGTTATAAAGAAAGGATAGTGTTGTTTTAGGGCATTAATTGCAAAAGGTATACGTTACAGTGCAAAGAGCACTGAGCATAAAAGAATGTGGGTGGTTTACTACCTGTCTGTGTTAACCCTTCCTGCAAGTCAGCTCTCTTTTGTAAAATGAGGCATTTTGACCAAGTATTTCTAATCCTTGGTAATCCTTTCCAAAAGACACAGTAGGGAAATACAGGATTTAGAATTTAAGCAACGCTTGAGGTCGTTTAGGCTGCCCTCTCAGTTTTTTCCAGTGAAAATATTAAGGCCTTGAGAGATTGTGTACAGTCCCATAGTTACTAGAATCTAGTTATAACTTTTTATTCCAGTTGCTTTTTCCATTATGCTGCTTATGATAGGCGGCCTTCTAAGATAACCCTGTATCTGTGTAGTCACAGTCTTGTGTAATCCCTTTCCCTTGACTGCAGACTAGACCTTGTATTAGAATATGGCGAAAGTGGTGGGACATCACTTATGAGATTAGATTATAAAAGACTATAATTTCCTTTTTTCTGGCGCACTCTTGTTGCTCACTTTGATGAAGCCAGCTGCCATATCATGAGTTGACCTATAGATAGCCTCACCCATCAAGGAATTGAGCCTTTGGCTAGTAGCCTGTGCAGACCAACAACGCCCTAGGAACTGAATCCTGCCAACAACCACTGACAGAAGTTGGGAGATAGTGTCCGAGTTAAGCTTTGAGATGACTGTCGCCCTGGCTGACACTGTGGCCGCAACCTTGTGAGAGACTGAACTGAGAACCTAACTGAGCAACACCCAATTCCTCAGAAACTGTGAGATAACAAATGTGCATTGTTTTAAGCTGCTAAGTTTTGGGGTGGTTTATTAGGTAGCAATAGCTAACCAATAAAGTGCTCTTACTAATTTCAGAAAATTTTTAGTAAAAGGAATAATTCTCCTTGAAGTTTTTTATAAACATAGCTTCAATATGTTTTTATCATCTTAAACATATTTGAGGATATTATTTTTACCTTTGTGCAAAGAGAAATATTAACCATTATCTATTCTATGTTTGTTTTAACTTAATTTCTAGGCATTTGTTTTTCTCAAAAATGGCAACATAAAGAGATGAGTACTTTGAAGGTTGGTTTGGTTTGGCGTTTCATTAAATTGGATAATCATGGGACAAACTTACCACAGAACTGCTTTTGGCAATTGGTACGAGCACCTCT